TCTATGGATATTGACACGAAGAAAGATAAAGATATAGATCAAGATAAAAACCAATATTGGTTGTGTTTATTAGTACGTTGCAATAGCAAGGATGAACTTATGCTTTTTGCAACCGGGAAAAATATTAGTCGTAGCACTATGGATCAATTGAAACAGACATATGAATCTGGTCCGGGAAGGAATTGTAATGTCAAATCTCTCTATTGTAAATCGATGAACAAGTAAGATTCCAACAAGATAAACTACGCTCCAAATAGCAGAAAATTGTACATCTCATTGCATTCATTTCAGACGCGATGATAAAGTTGTTACAACATTCTTAGTGGGAGCAGAAGCTCTAGATGAAACCGTGGGTAATTTGAAAGTGCAGCTTGCGCCAAAGACAAACTTTTGGTGTAATGCTGCTGGTGCATGGAATGTAGCTAAAACAGTTGCGGACATGCTTGAACCCACAAAAAAAATTACAATACTTGAAATTGGTTGTGGAATAGGTGTAATTGGACTTACAATAGCATCTGTAAGTACTTGCGTAACTTACATAAGATATGTATGTAAACGCATTATTAAACAACGTAATAAATATTGATTTTTTAACATCATGCGTTATGTATGTATACATAAACGCAGTGTTAAGCAAATTAATGAAAAGAGTAATGTACTATCATTGCATTATAACAGAAATGTCGAGAAGTGATAGGAGTTGATTCATCTTCGGAAATAGAAGAGGCTGAAATGACATGCGAATTGAACAACATATACAATGCATCGTTCATAATGGGATCTCCATCCGAAATTGTAACTAAACTAAATTCTGCGCGTGATTTACATAATAAAAATCGTGTGACTTATTGTATAGTCAATGCGGGCACCAATATGGGTAGAGGTACGCAAAATTGTTTTTTCTTAATCGTTAGTTTTATTGGCGATTAATTAATAACATTTAGCATTCCGATCACAACATATATCTTGCGATAATAAAACTTTAAAGTTATAATATCTTTTAGCTATCGAAGTAATGACATGCTTAAGGAAGATCAGTTCTCTTCGACGTATTGTAATGGTCACTACGTTGACAAAACAATCAGTTCGAGCAATATTAGAACTTGCACGACCTATAGAAACTGGGCTCGGTCATCCATTCATGCCAATTCGAGCATGTGTCGTCGATACATTGCCTACTGGACCTCATTTTGAGGTAGTTATTCTAATGGAACGTAGACTCATGCATAGGCTTTCGCAGCCGTGGTTTATCAAGATGCTGGAGGAAGAAAGCAAAACGTTGGCTAATACTAAGGTTTTAGAGAAAATAATCAATAATGACAAACCTGAAAATGCTGAAGCATGCATAAGAAAGAATCCATTAGCTAAACCTGAACTTGTGGAAAAATCTAAAACGTTACTCACGAAAAAAATAACCAAAGCAGTGAAAAGCAGTCCTTCACCAGTAAAAGGTAAACTAAAATTGAAGCGAGACCGTTCGCCCGACATAATAGAAATTAACAAAATGCCTAAAAAAATCGAAAAGGTTGGACTTAAATATAAAGTGGGACAACAGGGTAAGTTTGGTGATACACAACTAATAGATATTACATGATATTACATATATACACATACGCACACATCTAATCAATTTTTTGTTAATCAGATGTTACAGCTAAGAAAAAGAACTGGTTTCATGAAAACTCAAACCTTCGCATCAATCCATTATTTGAGAAAAAAACAAGGGAGATCAAAGAACAAGTTGATTTAAGAGAAAAATTATTGAGTAACCGAATTGACACAGATCTAATACAGAAGGTAAATGAAAGTCGAGAAATACTTGAAGCAGCTAAAGAAAAATTAAGCGGTCCATCTCCTACGGTTGACGCAACGACCGCTAAGGAATTAAAAAATGTATTAAGTTTGGTCCTCGACCAAACTAATAAGATTCAGACTCATTTGCCACGTTCAGTGTGGGATCGCATTGCGCCACCTGAGCCTGAGTTAAAGAAAGAGCTTGATGATGATCCTCTTTTGAAAGGTCGATTTGTGCAAGAAACTCGTGCACAAGATATTGTTATTACGACAGCAAACAAAGAATACTTGGAAACAGAGGACAATAAGCCAAAATTCAAAAAATATCATAATCTTGCACCATTAGAGCCAAATATGGTAATGCCAATATCAAAAAAATTTAAATCCGACAACAGACCGGAATTTCCTCAAAAATCATTTGACAACAGAAATAGACAACAAAACCAAGGTAATTCCTGGAATAAGACTAAAGGTTTTGATAGAAATCGTTGGAGCGATACGGGATCTATAAGAAAACCTATTTCTCCAATGAAAAGGCAAAATTTATCATTTACACAACGAGCATCTCCGTCAGATGGATTTTCATCAAAGCGTCCGTTACTATCACCACCGAGACGCTTATCCTCACCGTCTAGAAGACATTTTTCCCCAAATAAATCATATCAAGCACGTAATTCTCCGTCACATCGAGAATATTCTCAGAGACGGCCAGTGTCTCCAATAAGAGTAATGGTATCTGATGATAGAGAGAGACGCGAAATGTCGCCGCCTAGACGTCCGTTTTCACCGATTAATCGAATGTCTCCGCCAAGACGACCGATGCAAGTTTCAGGTCGACCAATGTCACCTATGAGACGGCACATATCACCGCCAAGACCACAGTTATCTCCTATACCTAGACGACAAATATCTCCGATGGAATATAACTTATCCGCGAGACAGTTGTCTCCGGAAAGAAGACCTATGTCGCCTATTGTCAGAATGACGTCTCCATCAAGACCAAGAGACTTGATGCCACCGCGGCATCAATCGCCTCCCATGAGACACTTTTCGCCACATCGAGCATCACATATACGTAATGTTTCGCCTCCGAGGCGACAGCAATCTCCTCCGAGGCGACAGCAATCTCCTCCGAGGCGACAGCAATCTCCTCCGAGGCGACAGTTGTCTCCTCCAAGGCGCCAGTTGTCTCCTCCAAGGCGCCAGTTGTCTCCTCCAAGGCGCCAAAGCTCGCCAAATAGATTTGCGGATGAATGGGACATACCAAGTCGGGGTGCTATTGAACAAAGCAGCACTTGGCAACGATCCGTTAATGAAAGACCGGAAAACGTTTGGCGTAATGAGAGACAACCGACAACGAGCGGAAATTGGCAGGCTTTGTCTGATAATGACAAATATCGCAAACAAACTAATCAAGACAAATCCTGGAATGGCAGAGAATCTTCATCTCATGGAAATTCATGGAATGCAAAACAATCACTTGCAAGTATGAAAGAAGAATCTTGGCAGACTTCAGACAATAATAGATGGTCCGGTCCATCCAGATCGGGAAATGGTGGCGAAAATTGGAATCGGGAAAGTTTAGGTGGCCGCAACAAGGAGCCCTGGATGAATACAAACAAGCCGCGATGGGAACAGTCGCAATCTAATGATTGGAATCAAGGAGACAAAGACGATTGGAATGACCTTCCGGAAGATGCACGGGACCCTTGGGCGGACGACGGCAATCTTGGATTGAACAGGAACATCGATAATCAGGGTACTTCGTCGACCAATTGGTCCAGAGAAGTTGACAAGGATCCTTGGGGAAAACCCAAAGATAATTGGCAAAACAAGTCGCAGATATTTCCAGCGAAATCGTTATGCCAAAACAGTAATAATCCGAACATGAACGATTCGCGCTGGTTACCTTTAAACGATATGAATAAGAAGGTATCATCATCATCTACCAACTGGCAAGGAGGCACTAACGTTGGATCCAACATTGGGACCAACGTTGGATGGCAATCAAATTATGGTTTTCAAGCAGCGCAGCGATCCTTTGTGCCCAACTTATTTAAGGATCGACGTTAGTTATAAGATGACAAGATATTTTAATGTTACACTCAAAATAATAATAGTTTAGTATCACTTCTGAGCATTTCGGTTTATGAAGCAAAAGCACATAGATCTTTAATTGAATGGGTTAAAAACACAATGTGAAACAAATATGGGATGTCAAATAAAATTACATATTGCATAAACGTGCAGTATGTGTTAAAATATCTATCTCTATATGTGATTTATATTATGATTTTTGCAAACAATATAGTGTTTAAAAGTATTTCCATTCTTTCAAATAATTCACAATAAAACAATTTATTAATATGTATTTCAATAAAGCAAAACAAACGATATTTTTTTTTATGTTTGAATGTTATTAATTACATTATTTGTACATTATTTGTACAATGAGAGAAATAAAAATAGCCTATATATTTACTGAGGAACATTGTACATACATAGTTTTGCACGAATTGCAAATGATACATATGTAGTATACAATATGAATTGCAGTTAATTTATATGTAAGTAATAATAGCTAACTGTATCTTTCATTGAAGTTTTCTAAAATACATCATAGAGGCTGATATCTCATTTATTTCATATCTAAAAATCTGCAAGTTATGAGTTTCATATTATTCTATTTAAAAATTATACGAACAACACTGTATATTCTTTTAAATCAAAATTGTAACAATTTCGAAAAAATTAAATAAAATTCTATAACAGATATTGTTTATTACAAACTGAACATAAGATAAAAATATACAAAACTGCGCTTTATATTAAATTAAATATTTTACACAATTTTTGAAAACAAGAAATTTATATTACATCAAATAGTTTTTGTGGATCTAAACATATATATTAAGTAATTTTCTTTTCCTAATTTAAATATAAATAAGTTTTACGCACATATATTTATATACATTTATAACTTCAAGTATAATTAATCATTGCTGTAATATTCCGTGACTATAAAAAAAAACCAGATATCAATATTTCATTATTGAATTACAACTTTTCTTATAACTTTAAATATTAGTCTGTGTTTAACAAATGTCTAACATTACAATATTGGATATTAAATTCAATCTTTTTAATTCTGCAAATATAAACTTTGTACAATTGCGGTGTTTTTGTTCTACTAATAGAATTTTATATTATTGCTGCTAACACAAATATTGCACCTATATGGTGACATCGCAATCAACTACACAACTGTTGTACGATTCTAATTGTAATTGTATTCAGTACGTTGTATGTACATACAATCTATGTTTAATAGAAACAACAGTTGTGCAATTGCTGACGTGCTGAGCAGTAAGCGAACATGATTGGATTGGTTTATTGGTTATGATCGCTGGATCCAGCAAATTAGCCTCAGTTACCGTGTTCAGCTAAACGTATATACGAACGGATATGTTTACATAATACGGAAATAATAAGTTTATAAAATTTCTGGAGGTTATCTCGCAGTTTGGAATTCTGTTTGCCGATATAAAGCAACAAGAAATGTTTCTATCAAAGGTATCTCGATATAAACATGAAGCCAATGCAAATTGCGATTGAGGTTAACCGTATTATATTCTGTTAGCTACCACTTCTTCTCAGAAATACTACTTTTGCTGCTGTACAACATGAATCAGGATATCCTGGTGTTCTCGTGCATAAATATCTACGAAACGACATACCCTCCGTGAAACTTTTTATGTCGACACAGCAACAGAATGAGCAGCAACAGGATTCAACGAAAGAACAGATCTCGCTTTCGATAAACACGGTAAATTCTGTTATTGTTATCTTTCCATTAATTTATTCGAATATATGTAAATAGAATATTTATTTCTTAGGGCACACCAGATAAGTTGTATAAAAAAGTTGAAGTTGAAATCAAGGGAAATGATTCAGCGGTATTAAAGAGCTATGGAACCTTTGCAACAATGGCTGCAAATCATTTGAAGATCAACATAGGTAGAAAGTAAGTTCTAGTTATTCGTTTATTAATGTTCTAGTTGAGCCTGAGTGTACCAACGTTACTTGGACTTTAAGCGAGGCTTAAAACTTTCCCTATATCTCCTTCTCCTTCGGCTTTAAAAAAAGAAAATGAGAATTTTAAGCCTCGCTTAAAGTCAAAATAACGCTGGTGCGATCTGAGTCCTTATTCGGTTATTTAACGTTTAGTGATGATTGGATCATATTGAGACCCTGTGTTGACGTATCACTATGGAGTGATAAAAGGCACTTATATAAGTTCTCCACCCAAAGGAAATATCACAAAAAAATAGTCGATTGGATAATATGTTAAAATGTATTTTTTTTGTTTATAGTACAGCACCACGTAAAGCTATCCACGAACGATGGACAGTGCTAAAATCTGCTCATGTTCATAAAAAGCACCGTGTTCAATATGAAATTAGGACTTACTATCGCTATCTAGACTTTTTAAAATTGACTGGATCGACAGCAGATACTTTTCTAGAATATCTTCAAAGAAATTTGCCAGAAGGAGTGGCGATGAAAGTGACCAAGGTCAGAGTTTTATATGGTCTATTCAACTGAACTTCTATTGTACTGTTTATCTTTCCTCGTTTCTTCTCTACATGGAAATGAGAAAACGAAGAAATAACAGTGCAAGAAGTTTAACTGAAAAGAACAGATCTATAATATAAAATAAATTCAAAATCATTTGCCTCTGACTTATCTAAGAACTTTTTCTTGCAGGTTGAAATGGAAAAGTTGCCTAAGAGTATAGCTGCAATGGGTAATACGTAACTATAATGTGTAATTATGAATAATTGTTTATATGAGTCAGGTTGTCGATAGTTTATCAATATAAACTACAAAAAAAATACATTTCAAGTTTATTTATTTAACTCTATACTTATTTTAATTTTTGAAAATTTAATTATACGATAAAAATAATCTTAAAAGGCCGCAGTTATCAAAAATAATATATTATTAATATTAATATTTGTAAAAATACAAAATTGGTAAATTGTTAAAAAAAAATTATATGTTATTTTTTAGTATTATTACAAGTAATTATATATTACGCAATTATACTAATTTGCAATAAAATTAAAATCTGCGGCAATATGGTATAAATTGAATGTCATTGGAAAAGTATTAAGTGAGAGATTTGATAATTATTACATGTGGCGACGAATCGATGTTTCTGCCTGATATATTGCGCGAGAGTTCCGGTAACGGATTCTTCTTCTTGAAGGCTGATGGTCTGTCTTGTGATACGTCGATGCTTACGGTTTTAAGGGGTGTATCTGTTAAATGTTTGCCTGCGATTCGACGTGCGTGCCCACTGCCGCGTCTTCTCATATGAGTCATACGTCGAAAAACACCGTTTGAAATTTGCTTGGAAGTTTCGGATTGAGTATCATCAATCAGAGAATCTTTTTGTTGCGTTTGCGATTGTGCCAAGTTTCCTTCGGCTCTGCGTAAACTGGTTCCAACATCCTCATTTCTATGCTTTCTAATTAATTCCGCAGTAGCTGTACATCTGTGCAATATATATTCATTACCTGAAATAAAATTTTCATAATTTATACAATATTTACTTATCTAATTCTTATATAATTTTATATAAAGCTGGTTTCATCAACAGCATGTGTTGACAATACGCATTCTTAATCAAATTTGTTAATTATTCAACTGCATTGTAAGATGGAAAAATTGATACGCTGTATATATAGTGACAACTGTTTATATTTAAAACACTTAAACATGCATTAATTTAATGACATCTTTGCTAAATATATACATACATGTATTTTTATGAAGTTTACGTTCAGGTAATAAATCGATGTCATATATGCACACACTGACTAAGAAATACATTTGAAAAATATTTTAAAGAGAATTTAAAATATTTTGATCTCACTTATCTTTTATCAGATATCCTTTAGATGTTTTTTTAGATTTTTGTATTTTGGATATAAATTATTCCGACACACCATAGTAAAAGATAAATATCTATTAATTTAGAATATATTTAAACTTTGTATAACCTAAGATAATTGATATCGTTCTTTTCATCTTACTAGAAATTACTTAATTCCTTACTGTAGATGAATTTTCACTCGTGCACTTTTTGAGTTTAATATAGTTTTATATTAAAAATAACATTTAATAAGATTGTTTAACATTAAAGTTTATCTGTTAAAATAGTATTAATTTAATTATTCTAACACCTTGCAACTTGTAAAGGAGACATAAAAAAATTAAAAAATTCTTAATTATGTGGGTCAATTTTCATCCAAAATAATGTTAGTATTAGAAAAATATGAGTAGATTCCAGAATTAAGATTACATAGCATATAGTCTATAACGATAAAAATTATATTATAAATTCACTTACTTGATCGCTTTGAACGAGGATAATAATCCGCCAGAGAATTAGTGGCCCAAATGAAGATGATTAAAATAACAGTCACTTTTTTCAGAGTCATTATCTGTCACGAGATCTCTGCAAGTGACTATTGATTTACTGGCTTAAGTTAAAATAAAGTACTAAGTTTACACACATTTAGCAAAATTTATTTCGAGTTAGAACAGTTTGAATTGTCTGCCAACCGTGGGAGAGGAAATCGTGGTAGCTGCCGCGGGAGCTATCGATCGACTGTTCACGAGGAAAAAGTTTCGCCGCGTAGAAGAAGCCGCAAAAACAAAACCGGACAAGACGTCAAAGCCGAACTGAGGTCTTTCGACTTTGTCGAGATTTTATGCCACAGTAAGGTAGCACACGTGCGCACCGTAGATGTTAAAATTAATCGGATCCGGCCGGAGCATCAGTCGTGATACCACGAAGCAGACGGAAGAAACCGCATGATGACCCTTTTTTCTTGTTTCCAACATTAACTGAGAAAAACCGGTTTGAATGATGGGCCAGGTCGAAAGTCGACATTGTACTTTAATTATGTTCTTTTTTTTCATCTGATTTCTTTATACATTGTTTAAAAAAGTACTGTCAATTTTAGATTGATCTTTGCTATGCGATCTTGGAAACAAATTTTTTTTCGAATTTTCGAAACATAACGTAAAGAAAGTGAAACTGACGAGTAAAGTCGAGCCTGCCACAGGGATGACCTTGAGAATCATCATTTACCATAATATATCATGTCTGGTACCGTATTTTTAGCTGCGAGCTATTCACGTTGCCGCTTTTCATATAATGATGTAATATTTCTTTGGAATATAAATAAGTAAATGCTTGATTATTCTTTGATTACATAATTTTTGTATCCATTTGATTATAATATAGAAAACATATAGAATAGAGAAATAGCTATTACATTAGAAAAAAAAAAAAGGAAAACGATGTAACGCATAGAGCAAAATTTAGTTAAAGCGAATACGATTAATGGTAGCGTCTATCCTATAGAAAATGTTATGCCCTTGGTAAACTTCGTGCTGGTTTAAGACATTTTCATGTTCATGTCATGATCGGCAGGAATATTATCAGGGGATAACCATCCGAGCGGCTAATGGAGGCATCATTAAAGGTAAAAACCAGCTCTGGGCGACCCTGAAAAAATTCTTTCCAATTTTGCGGGAGCATCGTTCACCCTTTTATAGAAACAGAAGTGGTCCAATTATAGGACTCTAATTGCGTTACGCAGGTAAAAAGGACTTTATAAGTCTTAGCGGAGACTCCAAGTGCAATAACATTGTAGGCAACGTTGTAACCTTCTGCCATTATTGAATCAGAAGATAACCGATTTGCCTATTTTTGATGATAGCTTATTTCTTCATGTTCGCAATACTGAATGCCTACGTGTAGGATATAATTGTCGCGTGATAAAAGATCCGTCTACCACTACGAATAATGTAAATGATAAAAAAGAAAATAGTGAATATAATAAAAAATGAAGAATTATGTATCAACGTTGATTCAAAGAGCCCACACTTTAATGTAATCTATTACAAAAGCAGTCTTATTGCCACTGTCTCGTCTCCAGCTTGGTAGCCATTGGTTCCGAGACTTCCAGAAATTCAACATTGCCTACAATCAAAACGATATTTCATGTAGTTATTTAAAAAACGGATGCTTATTTTTTAAAAGAGTATTTTAAGAATGAAAACTAAAGCATCAACATATTAAATTAGCCATAAATTGATTAATTAAATAATATTAAATAACTAATTAAATTAAATAATATCAAAAGAAATATTAAAGTGTACCTTAGCGTCTATATTTTTCCATGGTTTTCGCATTCCGGAACTATGTGTACCATCCGGAAACACACGTAGTCCACCCACACCGACGCCAAGAGTGATAAAGAACTATTATAAAAAATATAAATATTTAATTTTAAGAAATTTATATACATATACACACAATTATTTAATTAATTTGCACTGTATAAGATAAATAGATGTGATACAAATAAAATGTCTTCATAAATTTATAATGCTTGCTTATTACAAAGAATATAAAATCGTTTTATAGCAATAACAAGAACTATAGTGCACTAAAATGGTACCTCTTGATCGAATGGGGCAGCTTTTCTATTTGCGTAAGGACCACTCATCCATCCTTCTTCATTAGGGCTGATTTGGCCAACTTCTTCGTTGTCGACCAAAAACGTGAAACCATCACTGGTCCAGATCGTCGTATACGCATGGAAATCCTTCGTCCACCGCGGTCCGAATTCGTTTACTTTTGTGACGAGTATTTCTTGGATCTCATTAGAGGATGGACTTACTCTCACGCCAAAATCCAATCGTCTAGTGTCATAGATCTTCGAAACGTCCGTGGCATTCATCAAATTCTCATTGCCGCGTGTTAGACCCAGAAGAACTCGACCACTGGCGTAGTTCATACCGTAAATAGAATAACGTGGCTCAAGCCACATTTCTGATAAAATTATTATAGGACATATATTTTTTGTGGTAATGTTATATCTTTCTCAGAGAAAAGTAATATTGTAAATTGTGGCAAATTCACTAACCATTCAAAATTTTTTTTCTCTAGGAAGTAAATCAAGTCTAAATAATATTTACCATTGTTAGAAAAATTAAAAAAAAAACTGATTGAAATTTTCTATAGAAAAGCAAAAAATTGACGACAGTAATGAAAATTTTTTTTAACTATAAGAGTATCGTTATTAATTTATATTTAGTAACTTATAATTAATAAGACATTATTATGACATATATCTTGTACAGTTAATTGCAATTAAAAAAGTTATATAAATTGTCTTATATTTTGTATTTTATTCAGATTAATTTATATGATACTGTACAAATTCATCACAACGTATTTCACATTGCGTAATATGATTTATTTTAATAGTTAGATATATGTCTCGCTCGCAATAAAAAAATAAAAAAATTACCTGGATACAGCCAATCGCCCTCAGGAAACTTCGCGCGTATTTCGATCTTTCCGTATCGCAGAACGAAACGTTCTTTCGTGGTAAAACGTACAGATATAACGGGTGGCAGAATGCTGTAGGATAACGCCTGTCTCATACATTCGAAGGCAACCATGCTCGTACATCTACGAAAAGATATAAAGACAAAAAGAAGTACAATAGAAATTTAATTTACTTATATTTACTCGTTAAGTTGCAATCTTCCGTATGCGGTCGCATTCTCGCCGTAATAGTCTTCCAATATAATTGGCCTTATGAATAATTGACCATCATGAACTTGCACAAGTTGCTCATGATTTTGGTTGTGATACACGCAGAATTCGTAGTCCTAATTTCAACATAATCAACTTTATTGAGTTGAAATGAAATATACATATATATGTCTATATACAATTATATACACACATTGTATGGATATATATTTTTACAGATGTA